GATTAATCAGGACCATTGGATTTTAATGAGGTGGAAGGGCTGAGATTCACTTAGTCACATGACTAAGGGACCCCCCTCTAGTCACCTGTTCTTAGCCCCAAGCTAGCTAGCCAATAAGCAGCCGCTATTCCAAAGAGTGAAAAGTTAGCTGAGAAGCAACAACTTTTCCTGAGAGCTGTAAACGGCGCAAACCCGAACCAGTGAGTTGATTTAACTCTACATATCCCTATTAGGTTTTTCAGAGATAAGCAGTCAACAGTCTCCAAATCAACCTTATCCAAGATGTCATTACTCTGTAGCTTTCAAGCTCGACATTCTTGACATTAATGTTTTAGTTTGAGTGGGAGTGTAGGAAATCATCAATACTACCACAACTGCATCATCCAACTCCCAACTACAACATTGAAGACTGGTGACAACACAATTAATCCACCAATCCTCATTAAACCTCACTCGTACCAACGGTCCTTATTTTCTGTAGACTTCATGTGCTTCAGACAGACAACCCATGCTACTCCATTTTCTATACAATGTTTGTTGTTCTTTCCTCTATATAAATAGAGTAGTAACTGTTATACAAAACTCAAGCTTTCCAATCAATAATCACATTCAGCAAATTCATCATGATGAAAAATCTTCGTTCGTTCTATTGGGTTTGACAGATTTCTCGACCTGGCAAATGTACATTGGAGACTTGAAGTTGAAGACAGGATCATCGACGGTCTTTCTGAAGCTCCCCTGTTTTTGGGTAAGTTCCCCAAAAACCTTTGTCGGTGGAATTTCTCTCCAGGAGAAAGAAGAACAGGATGCATCTCTCAGCAATTCGCCAAATACCTTCAGCGGATTGGGGAAGTTCTCGACGTCGGTGGTGGATATTTTCCTGGGGACAGATCAGATGGGGAAGGGATTTTTTTGGTTTATTATTTTAATGATGTTGAAATATTAAAAGTATTAAATTTATTTTTTATTAAATTTTTAATGGATACGTCAGACATTTAACGGTTAACTGTTAAGAATTGACCACCACATCAGATAAAGTTAACAAAGAGTGACTAAATGTGGACTTTTTGACTAATTCGAGTGACCAAAATTAATATTAGATTTTTCAGTGATTAAACATGACACGTTTTAGTAAACCCAGTGACCAAACTTGGCATTTACCCATTTATTTAGATTTTAGAATGTTTTATAGAGCTTTCTTAAGTTGAATCCTCCACGAGAATGAATGTAGGAAGGGCATTTTTGTCTGCACAATTAATTATTTATTCCATATAAAAATGTCAATATCAGGATTTGAACCCGAGTCTATTCAAACAAAGACAACAATCACAACCAACTACACTAAACAAATTTTATGTATCTTTTTTCATACATAATATACACGAAGTGACACTCTGAAAACCAGAGAACTTTTTCATAATGATTAGCTAGCCCACTAAGTATACCGTATGTGTTTTTATGGTGCTTGATACTGCAATTTTCATAGCAGAGTTTCATGTAGTTTCTCAATTCTAAAATCACTGGTCTCTCCTTAATTTTCGCTAAAGGTGAATGGGTAATTAGCCAACATGGAATAAACTAATTCTATTACTACGTGTTTTGTCCTTTCATTTTTTAATTTATATTTAAATTTGTACTTTTTTACCTTTGTTATTATCTCTTTCTAACTTTCTCTGAAATTCTCTCCATCGTGCAATAGTTTGCGCCCCCTCACTTCACAGTACAAGGCCGTCTTTGAAAATCAATCTTTTGGTCTTTTGGCACTACGACTTTATTCTTGGGGACTTAAACTGGGCAAGTAAAAAATTTCAACTCCAATATCAATCCATGGCGAATAGAATGGAGTTCAATATATGGAGGTGTTGAAGGAGGATCAAAAATTGAATTTTGGTTGAAACATACGCCTCTTGAGATTGAAGATAAAGGGGTTAAAATTTTTATTGTACAAGGGAGAGTGGTGGCTATTGGATCTTTAGGTTTATGGTTTTTGAAGCTATCGCAACCTAATTTTATCTTAAAACGAGGAATCATCAATTGATTTACTGAAGTAGGTCGGTCGATTATTTATTCAACCTACTGGAACTTATAGAGAAGGAGTGTCTAATTTTGTTCCTTATTACTTTGATCAAATTTATTAGTATATTGGAGGTAACCCTAATTTTGGCGTTTGCTCTCAAGTTGTGATGGTCCCCTGTTAGCTGGTTGTTAGCATATAGTTGACTTGAATCAACAACTCTTCATTTCTTTTGATTAGTGGCATATTGTTCCTAAAAGGAGAGCATTGAACCTTTATGTAGGATTGCGAAGTTTAAGATTTAGTTTAACACTATCTATGGTTCGTGAGGGAATTTCAGTGAGCTTTTATACTATATATTTCTTGACAATCAACTAACCAATAGCATTTTATCGGGGACTTAATTATTATTTTGAAAATGAGATCAATGATACGTTTTTAGATTTCTCCAAATATTCGATCTATATTTTCCTTCTTTATGTATCATCTCAATCGAAGGATTGTCAATAAATTAAACGGGTTGATAGACTTAAACATAATATGAAAATATATATATTCCGGCGAACGGACCGGTTATAAGCTAGTGCTAAAAGAATAGATCAATCCATCTAGTAATCAGTATTATCTAGAAGTGTAAAATCGAGCTATTAATGTAAAATGGGGGATCAGGACTTGGAGTTCTCTATCCCTGGAATTGATTTTTTTTTTATATTGTGGGTGGAAGCAGCTGGGGAGGCAGAGAGAAGTTGAAACTAGACCAATGTAATTTTGTAAAGCTTACTTGAGGAAGCATGGATTGCGATTGACTGGATGAACACACACACTCATTCAACGCATGAAGAAGCATTTAGAGTAATGAAGTGATGCTAAGTGTTTACTTGGGATTGTTCGGATGAGAGATTTAAATGCTGATTTTGTCCAAATTTTTCGTTGTGTCGATTTTAAAATAATTCATCATTTAAAAAGGATTAAAAATCGAGCGTATTATTTTCAGCTATTTTTTTTCTTTAACTTAGCAACCCCTTGTAAGTTATAACTATTTGAACTTGTTATCGAATGGACAAAAATATAAATTCAACTTATGATTCAGAAATTTCATACGATGTCTATTAGGGTGTTTTATTTTCAGGATGGATGGTTGTTTTGAATAGAAGTGTATGCATGAAAGAATAATAAGATTTATCAGCATAGATGGTGACATAAACGGTCTTGAATTGGTATTGGAGGTTCAAATCCTATACCCCAACCTCTGTAAAAATTGTCACACCCACCCACAACCCCAGCTCTCTTACACAGCTCCGTCGGTGATGATAGTGCATCATAGTCGTACCCATATAAATATATCTTTTTACTTTATACAAAATACGATAATTTTTATATAAATTAAATGGAAATAAAATCATACCCATAACCCATGTAATTGTACATGTTGATTCTTCATGTAGTCGGAAAAGTGAAAACCAACATGATCTTTATATACGACAATTTATTTTGATTCTTAATATGAGATAGTAGCAAAACCGTACTATCAACCTTTTTATAATAATAATAATTATTATTATTTTATTTTGTTGGAAACCAAGAAAGCTTGTTATTATAAGGAGGTACGTACGTAAGTGTAACTGATGAGCTGCAATTAAGCTTCAATCACGCAAGAATCGATCGGTCAGGCTGAGATTAAGATTAAATAAAGCATAGACATTGGTGGGTCCATATATAAGCGACTTAAGTTAATTGTGGTAGATCCTGATCAGGCGATTAATTAAGAGTCTAAGAGAACCAGTCGACAACAATCCTCCCCACTCAATCTGTCTTTTCCGTCTTGGGGTTAGGTTTGGTCTTTTTTTTCTAAGCTAACTCTCTTGTCCTGTTCCTGGTGAGGTAAAGTGTTTGAATTTCGTTCGCCCGAAAAGCGGATCGAATCCGGGGCTTTAGATACGCTCCCTCCCTAATTTAGCATCATCAGTATGATAATAATAATAATTGACAAGTAAAGCATAGGGAAAGCGACGTACGTTTTGTGTCCACGTATTCCCATGCCGGTTTGAGAAAGACCCTAATTTTCTCACATTAGATTAACTACATAAAGCTCTCCTATTGTAGTTTGTATCTGGCATGCACTCAAAATGATAGAAATCATTGACCTTTCTCAATCTTCCACATGCATACATTTTACATGCAATGCATGGGTTTGATGTGACTCGAATCGGACTATCAGCCGCTACGATTGAAAGTCACGGGTCGGTTTTGGGTCTGGTCTGTAACCGTTTCCTTTACCAGATTGGATTAGGTTTTTAGACCCCACATGAAGAAGTATAAATACTTGATCTCATCTCCTCCTGTAATCTGTACTCTCCTCGATATAGTGAAATTGTCTCTCTCTCTTGCCCACCGGACGACGTAGCTAACACACATCGTGTTAGTAAACCACGTAAATCGTGTGTCTATTTTCGATTCTCGCTTTCGTATTCTCGCTTTCTCAATTCCGACGATTTTCCGACAGCGCAGTCATACAAGCAAGTATGCAGGAAAGGATTGAAAGATCGCGTACCGGAAAAGTCAGCACAATAGGGTATTTTATACTGAATATTGTGGTTTAACTATGGTTTGATCGTTCCATTCTATCAAATATCGCCTACCGCTTTTGCTTCAGTTAGGTGGAATTTCTGGTCGAACCATCGATCGACTCGGTACGATTTTTCAATCCTTAGGACGGTAACAAAAAAGTGGGAGTCTAGTAGGTTTCTTGTGCTGTATCGCTCACTTCTTCTGCTTGCTCTTCATTTTTTTTCCACAACCACCACTCTTACTTACATATATACTACTAACATCAGCTAACTTGAACTTTCTTCGTCGTCGATCATCTTCTTCCATCTGTCTGTCCCAATCTCAACTTCACAAGTCATTTCAAAGCAAACTTACACTACGTACCTAATATAAAGCAACAACGTACAACACTAGCTAATTATTACCTCTAGTCACAGCCATGGCTGAAGAAGATCATCCTGATGATCAACACCATACGGCCACAACCGCAGGCCTGAAGCTCTTCGGGTTCGACATATCCGAATCGCCATCCTCGCCGTCTTCCACCTCCCTGCCGCCAGCCGCCGCCGGCGCCGTGTCGGACGGGCGGAAGTACGAGTGCCACTACTGCTGCCGGGAATTCGCCAACTCGCAAGCGCTGGGCGGCCACCAGAACGCTCACAAGAGGGAGAGGCAGCTCCTCAAGCGGGCCCAGCTCCACGCCGCCCGCCACTTCGCAGCTGCTTCCAGCTACGCGCCCACCGCCGCCTCTCCCACGCTCGCAGCCGCGTCTCATCGCCACCTCCTCGCGGCGGCGGCGCAGCATCAACTCCGGCAGCCGGGACCCCCACCGCCTCCGCATGATCCGTGGTTGTTGTACGCGGGCCATCTGGTTCCGGATATTTCGGGGCGCGGAGTTGGGTGGGTTGGCGGTGGTGCTGCCGACGTGTTTGAGATTTCGAGGGAGGCGTGGAGGGGAGAGTTCGACGGCGGGGAGGAGGCTGGGCCAGCTCGCGGTGACAATGGATTGGGCTTGGACTTGCATTTGGGCCTTGGATGTCGTGAATGAGTGCGCTCGGTTGCAGGCCTACAATGTAATGGGTATTGAGTGTGGAATTGAAGCTTATTGGGCCAACTAGACTTGTACATTTCCTGGCATTTGAGACTCGGTGTGATTTTTTTTTTTTTGTTTCTGTATTTATTTTCTACTTGCTCCTCTAATGCTTCAAACCTTCAACGATGATGATAATGCCACGCTGCACGTTGATTTGGTTACAGTGACATGACGAGTGGTTGATTCGTTTAGTAATTTAATACAATTGTGATTATCTATGTGGGTATTATGTCGGATTCAAATGAACTTATATTTACTGTTAATGGTTTTTAAGTTTAGTTTGAATTGATTGGGTCTAGATTATTATACACATTAACTTTATTTGATTCAACCACACCTTTAATGTTGATATTTCCATCTTTTCGTTTGTTTCATAACGAAAATAAGGCAAAAACTACATTCGAATCTTATATCAATTTTCTTTAGAGTATCCAACACTAAAATAATTTAGACACGAACTAAAATGTTTGTTATGGATATGTTCCAAAAGTAAAATTATCCAAATTTTGATATAACTCATAATAAGTTGGGTTTGGGACCTTTGGGTGTACCAAATATTGAATTTTTTATGTCATCCCTATGCTCGATGGTCATTTTTGTGAATCTCATTTAAATTTGAAGAAGATAATGTTGTAGAGACAATGAGTAACTCTTCTTCATTTCTCATAGGAACGGTTTTTTTCCAGCTTAATTACAGTCAAATGCCAAAATGCGTAGTAGACTTTGTTGAAACATAAATTAAGGACCTGACCTGTCATAACTTCATCTCATAGTGCGCCCAGACCTTGAACTATGCTCTCCATATCCTGACTGCTAACGCCTCTACTTGAATTCCCTGACATAGATGTCCGTGGTGAATGGCTTATTCATAGTTCGGTTCCTAGTTATTGCTTCTTTCCCCTTTGTAGTCCTCATTCCAACTCCTTGTCTAAGGACTTACATGTCCTTCCACACTTCATACTCTTCCTAAGGTTACTAATGTCCATTCCCCGTTATGGCCTTGAAATTGGAATCACATCGAACTATCTCTTTACCTTCCCACTCTCTCCTATTATGCTACGTAAGTCCTCTTTATCATGTCCATTGAAATTCATCCTCGAAGGGTCTACTTGCTTTCTCTGACATTTATTAGAACTTCGATTGAACGTTCTATTTTCTTATTTGTCATCAGCGGGCTTGTTGACTTTTCTTAGGGAAGTTTCGAGATTCCGACTCTTAACCTACCTTGGTCCGACGATGCTACTTGTATCCCTTGGATTTTTTACCTCCCGTGACTAGTGTAACTTGTAGGATCTCTCGAACCCCTCATCATAACTCCGCATTAGTTGGCACCACCTCTAGCCCTACTTACTTAAACCTGGCTACCCTCCTTGCATCCCTTCCTCTCGATGATGGACGCCACTTATCATAACTCCTTGTCTACTGTTTGTCGACGTCCTAGATAATTTGCGTCTCCATGAACCTTATATTGATCAGTTCGCATCCCCGCAGGGTGTGAGCAACCTTGGACCACCTCTTCTTGCTCTTGAAAAGGGGATCAAATCTTTTTTTTTTTTTTTTTGTGAAAGGCGATCAAATCTTTTCACCATCCTTTTCTCTACACAACAGTTTTTCCTTGTTCCATGAATTAATTACCAGTTCACATAAGCGAAAGAGGGGTAGCTCAGTTGGCGGGTTTGTTGGTTTAGCACACACAATGTTGTTTGTTCAATTCACGCCATCGATCAGTTGGTGCATAATAGCATCTCAGTCTCACCTGGACTAAAGACTGGCAGCCCTAGCATTTGCCTAATGATAGCATCACCGAATGTGGTGTCTTAGAGTTTTCCAGAGAGGAAACTCATGTGTTTCAAATGAATGCACCTTTGACTTCTTCAACAACGACAATAACAAAGTCAATACCTCTCCGAACAATGTTTGAACAAGGATGTTTGATATTTTGATGTATGAATGAGAACAAGCTACGTTGAGTTACTATACTCTTATGGAGGTTCAATGAGAGCTCCATAAACTAAAAGCTACAGCTACATTGCAGAGATAGGATAAAGTTTGATATTGGGTGTCAAATATTTGGTTGTGGAACCTTTTTCCAGTCTTCTTTTATCCTATTTATAGCCATCAGGTGTAACTGCCCTGGTAGTCAAGCCTCTCGCCTCGTCATGACCGGATGTGGTTGAGGTCTCTCCAGCTTGTAATCAACTTGACACCTTGTCGTCTCTCTGACTTGATACCCTTGCTACCAAGCTAGTCATGTTGGCCCCTGCTACCAAGTCAGCCATGTTGGCTTGGTCTCCATACTTTTTTGGAATATCATCAAGTTGGTACCTTTTCACCCTACCGGCTTGGTACCCTACCAAATCACCATCAAATTCATCTTAATCTCATTGGCCTGGTACCTTGGTTGAACTACCTCCACCCCCGAGACTCCATACTTAGTCTTGAGAATTTAGGAATTGTCCATGACGACTTGGTACCCCATCTGGGTGGCCACCTCAGATGGTCTCTAGACTTAGTTTATTTAGAGCTCGTCAAGTTGGTACCTTGGCGGCCTATTGGCCACCTTGTCACCTCCTCATTGGGTTGGCCCCGTAACAGCTTAATCTCTATACTTAGTTTTTTGGAATTTTAATAACTTGATACCATGACTATCTCACTACTAAGGCTGTCTTGTCGGCTTGGTACCCTGTCGCCTTGATAGCAAGCGATCATGACTCCATACTTAGCCAAATTTCATGTCTTTCTACTCTAAACTAAAGAAACTAAACAAGCAAGCTAAGTATTCTTTATGAATTTAAATTAGAAAGGATCACTCATACGATATCCCCCCTAGTTCATGTTGAGATATAATTGTGACACTCTAATGTGATAGGTAAGTGTTCATATACCATAAGGAGCGCTAAATTAGCTCGAACCCCTTATTCGAGTGCATCAATCCTAGCCCGCTCAATCGAACTAATCGAAGGGACGTACCTCATAACCACAAAAGACAATCAAAACGATCAATTCTACTCTTTTTAGTTAAACCCGGAACGACACAAAGTAACCAATCACTCTAAATCATGGCACTCTACGGTAATTGAGGATTGACCCAAATTGCCTAAGGCGATCTTCTCCCTCCAAGTTCAATTTGCCCCAAAATCGGAAGATTTGATCAAGAACATCCAATTTCATGCCTCAATCACATATATAAATTACAATACCCATTCACAATAGATTTCACAATCCTACAATCTACAACATATCAAACTAGGGTTCCTATCATCCAAGTGACAAGGAGGACTACTCCATATCTAGAAGAAATAGCAAATAAGATAGAGGAAAAATCCATAGCAAAGTGACTCCTTCTTCCTAGATGTTTGATTTAATCATTGGAGTAGAAATCTCCCCCACCAATGGCCTTAGGTAAGTCAATTTCTCCTCCTTGCTTTCTTGCTCGGAGCTTTCTCTCTCTCTATGCTTGAAGAAGAACCCTTCACTATCTCTCTAGAACTCTCTCTTTCAAATTCAACTCACTCTCCATTATATAGCTCACAAGTGCACATATTACGGTCTTATATCACGCTATTATGATACGAGTCATTCATAATAATCTAGGAATTTATAGGCTCATCTATTTTTAGTAGTTTTATTACTTAGTCTGTATTTTGCATTATTTGGGATATTATTATTGTTTATTAGTCTTAGTAGGATTTGGATTGCTTTTTAGTACTTGTCTAGGATTTGGTTATTATTTCTTTGTGGGAGAAGTAGTCATGTTTTGGGTAGGAGAAATGAGGTGTTTTATGCCTATAAATATGTACTCACTCTTTCGTTTAACGATATGAGAAGATTAGAACCCAAGTAGCTTAATAGTTTAGTCCTTCTATCATCTATTCCACGTAACACACGCCCGTGAAGTCGACAATGAAACCGTGATGTTGACACAAAACACACCATTTCACTAACGAACTTCACAAGTTGCTTGTTGACTTCAAGGTTTGGAGACCCTGATCTTGGCAATGCCAACGAGCCACACAATCTTCCTGTAAGTGTGCAGACTTCACGGTTTGCTTATCCACTTCACAATTTGACGCCTGTGATGATAGCACCAAAACCGTGATCCTCGCACTTTTGTCCATTTTGCTCCTTTTTCGCTCTCTTTTGTCCGACTTTCGATCCCGGTGCCAAGATTACCTACTTGGTCATAAACATAGTGAGGGTACGCAATATAATAACATGGTTGTTGTCTTTGATACGTTTCATCAAACCATTCTGTATTGACCTCAGATTTAGTAGCTGGAAATTCTTCTTTCCCCTTTAAAGCCAAAAGAAAACGGATTCTTGAGAACCCTTGCATGCTCCTGTCACGTCCCCAAAGAATCCTAGAACCTAATTCTGGAGTATCAAAATGAGCATCCGAACTATGACCAGATGATGACGCATTACGAGAATTTGCGGATAGTCGTGGTAAGCCTGAGGACGGGGAAAGGCAAAGGTTGCATCCTTACAACTTAAAGCAAAAGAACCCTTCGTCCCATGTCCGTGATGTTGTAATGATAACTCACGGTCATCGGGAAGACACAACACGAGCAAACCTATCGTAAAATAGCTTCAAAGGATGGTGCAAACCAAGAAAAACCGTGCAAGGCAAGGGGGTATAAAAGTATGTAATCTAACCCGAATCACCAATCCTGTCTTTCGGGATTGGTATCCAGACTTAGTTTTCATATGACTTTCTAATTGGTACCGGTTTGGTACCCCGTTGTCCTACTATCAAGCATGTCTTGTTACAGACTTAGTCAAATTTCATGTATTGGTAAGAACTAAGAATCATGTCTTGATGGCTTGGTACTCTCTTAACTGGCTACCAAGCGTGCACGGTTTTCAGGCAACATCATCTATCGAGGTATGGGTCGGTTGGTTGCCAAGGCCAGGGAAAGAGAGCTTAGGCACTAATTCCCACTTAGGACCAAAAA